GTTTACATGTTCTCACTGGTTGTGTAAAGTTTACATGTTCTCCCTGTTTGTGTAAAGTTTACATGTTCTCCCTGTTTGTGTAAAGTTTACATGTTCTCCCTGTTTGTGTAAAGTTTACATGTTGTCACTGGTTGTGTAAAGTTTACATGTTCTCACTGGTTGTGTGAGTTTACATGTTCTCCTGTTTGTGTAAAGTTTACATGATCTCACTGGTTGTGTGAGTTTACAGACCTCCCTCTACCCACTTTCGTCCAGGGGGACCCCGAGTCATTCCCAGGTGAGAGAGGATACATAATCCCTCCAGCAAGTCCTGGGTCTTCCCTGGGGCCTCCTACCAATGGGACATGCTTGGAACACCTCTAAAGGTATGCATCCAGCTAGCATCCTAAATGCCCGGACCACCTCAGCTGTCTCCTTTCAGTGCAGAGAAGCAGTGGCTCTACTTCCTTCTTACGTTCTCTCTAGCCTGGCCACCCTACAAAGCTGCTTGTATTTGGGATCTCCTTCTTCCAGTCATGATCCACGCCTCATGACCATAGGTGAGGGTTGGAATGTAACCAAACCAGTAAATCAAAAGTTTTACCTTTCGATTCAGCTCTTTCGTCACCACGACTGACCGAAGCAACACCCTCATTATTGAGGACGAGGCCCCAATGATCCATCTTGCGCTCCATCCTATCATCACTTGTGAACAAGACTCCCAGATACTTAAACTTCTTCACTTCAGACAGGAAACTTCACCTGCAGGCCTGGTGGTCAAGCCTTGGCTCTTAGGGCTCAGCTGGACCAAGCCTGAAAGGACAACAAGTCACTACCTCCACGTGGACCCACTACCTGTGGGGAGGACCATCAACGTCAGGAGGATCTCTAGCCATCCCAATTTCTTGCTCATAAACTGTCTCAAGAACTTAGAAACATGTGACTCAGAAAAGAAAATGCAGGTAAAGGTATAAAGATAAATAATTTCAAAGAGCCCTACAATGAGCTGCTGTATCCAGACGACTCAGGTCAGGGAAGGCTGGCAGGAGATGAAAAGAGAATGTGGATACCAGGATATTGTCAGAAGATCCATCCCCAGAGTGAAGCACTGTGACTCCTGCCAAACATTCACCAAGACACATCAAACTGAACCCTTTTCTGTCTTTGACAATCTGCTGACTAATGTTTAAAAACCAGAGGACAGAGACAAACCACAACCATCCCATCATTGTTCTGCTGCCAGACAGGACTACTGCTAGGGACAGTTCTGTAAGAGGTCTGCCAGGACACAGGTCCATCAGTCTGAGGACTGAGACAACCTGACAGTCTGAGGACTGAGACAGCCTGACAGTCTGAGGACTGAGACAACCTGACAGTCTGAGGACTGAGACAACCTGACAGTCTGAGGACWGAGACAACCTGACAGTCTGAGGACTGAGACAGCCTGATAGTCTGAGGACTGAGACAACCTGACAGTCTGAGGGCTGAGACAGCCTATCAGCGAGAGGACAGAGACAGACAGACAGGCGTCACAGGACCAGCGTCTTTGGGTGTGTGTCCTCTGTCTGACGTAGATCAGTCTCTGTGGAACCACCGGCGCGTCCAGAAGCAGCAATGTCTCACGGATGGGGATATGGACCGTCCAATGGTAGGACTTTAGACCTTCCTTCAGATAATTGTTATTTTTTGTTTTCTGTTTCTCTGAAGTCAAATAACTCACAACAGAAAAGGTAATAAAGCAGAATATTGAACTTGTTTTTATTATTCACATCTTTAATATTTATATATGTAATATTTACATTTTTACCACAGCTGAGACCTTCCAACAGGTCAAACACAGAATTTAAACTTGTTAAAGTTGACATAATGCAGGTGTTCAGATCAAGAAAGCAGAATTAAACCTCTGATGATCACATCAGTCATCATATATTTGACTTTAGTCAAAGTTCAACAACTTTACTTGAAAAGACTAAAGTTTGTTTTTGCCATTCAGTGGAAAGAAACTGAACACGTTCAGCTCTGTTGAGGTGTAAACCAGCTCAGTAACTTACTGTTGTGTTTGTAGGACCAGACAAATGGGCCGAGAACTTCCCGAATGCCACCGGGCCCAGACAGTCTCCCATCAACATCGTGACAAAGGAGGCCCACTATGACCCGTCTCTGAAGCCCCTCAAGCTCCGCTATGACCCCTCCAACGCCAAGGGCATCCTCAACAATGGACACTCCTTCCAGGTGGACTTTGTGGACGACACGGACAGCTCTGGTAAGCAGGAGATAACACACACACACACACACACACACACACGAGAAACACAGAAACAGTTATATCCACTTGAAGTCCTGGTCTGAAGTAAAACACACTAACACTTTGTTAAATATTTTATTCACAGCATATGTGATGAAGTGTAACAGAGCATTTCCTTTGTGAATAAAAGACAAAGATTGGAACCAATATTCTGACGTTTTTCAGAGAAGGGCATTAGTTTGATATTTTCCAGTAGAGGTAAACATCTTGAGGGTGGTCGTGGTTCTGTATCGACCCATGTTGTGAACACAGATAAGAGTGTTTGATGATGTAAGCAGTCAGTTTTTTCTTATCAGTCCTGTTGCTTTAATCTGGAGGTCTACAGGCATGTCAGCCCACCACACACACACACACACACACACACACACACACACACACACACACACACACATCCAGATCTCCATGAAATATAAGATTTAAGTGTTATTGCCTAAAACTTGAATTATTATAAAACTTACTCTTTTATTGTGTTAAACTAAATGAGAATTGTAACATTAAAATAAAAAAAATCCACCTTCTAAGTTCAGTGTAGAATAAGTTTATACGTTTGAGCCTGATGAGGTCAAACACGTGAGCTGATTGACCAACAGAGAACAGGTGTGTTTGTATATTTGTGATCAAACAACATCTTTGTGTCATAATTGAACAAATAAAGTCCTTTAGATACAAATTCAATCAATCTGTCTGCTAGATGGGAGTCGGTAGGAGCACTTTTGTTGGATTTGAAAGTTAAATTGTGGTTGTTTAAATGAATGTATTGATAATCATTGATGGGTAACTATTAAACCAAACCAGGTCCCTGATATTGCAACGTTGTTATTTATAAAGTAGAATATCAATATAAATCCCCAAAACCCATACTGTATTGTAATTACCTTCATTAAATTTTATTAAATTATTATTAAATTTATTATATTAACACAGACATGGTATTTTATCTTTTTGAAACCATATTGGGATGGGGTTATGATGTTAATCTATTAGAAACTACTCCAGGGTTTTGGAAAGGGAAGATAGAATAGAAATCTGACAGTAATAATATAAATTATTTAATTTGCCTGAATTGAAGACTGTTGTGTTAATTTAATGATTTGAAGGTGAAAACAGATGAATGTGACAGCAGCTGCAGTCTGTTTGATATGTGACCTCTGACTTTAACAGAAGCAAAAAAAAAAGTTTGATCAACTGAAACCTAGGAGTAGAGAAAATCATGCCATCCTAGGTGTTTCACTCAAAATGTTTATGGCCTTTATATTATCTTGATCACTTTTAAATCAATGTAATTATTAACAATGAAAAGACACAAAGATTTATTTATGTCTACAGTAAAGCAGTAATTAGATGTTAACAGTGGACCCACAGATCCTGAAAGCAGGTTATGGTAAATGGTCTGAAGTTAAATAGGGTGTATCAGAAAAAATGATACTCTCAGAAAAATCACCATAAAATTAACAAAGATATTAATTTTGAAAATATGTGCATAGCCTTTGTTAGAGGGGATCATTCTGCTTCGAATGACACCAAAATCTTAGTTAACGCTTCACGCTCCAGTGAGCAGGGACAGCTGGAAATTCACAAAATTCATGTCCTTTACACAAGGAAATGTGAGGGTTAAAATACGATCTGTCAAATCAAATTAAAAGTTTAGATGGTGTTTTACACATGTGCCAAGGTGTTTTTAAAATAATTAACCCTTTCATGTCCTAATGTTGAAACAAAAATATCTCATTTTTGAGTGGATCGTAACCAAGGGTTAACAAACACATGAGAAGTGGCCGTGGACAAATCAATCCAGCCAACTAACATTACATGTAATGTACTGTACATGTACATGTATTCAGTGGGTATTACATGTAATTGTTCTATAACCTGGTACAAGATCATGTGATCGTGTGGTCATTTTCTTTCATTAAAACAACATGTTCACAAACATCACCTTATCTTATGTAGACAATTACATAATTCCTGGACGTAAAACCTGTCAGAACCTGTGCAGTGGTCTCTTCCTGCCTCAGCCAGTGTGGTGTAAAATGGCCTGACCACAGTTCACCACTCAGCAGAGGTCTTTCCTGGTTACTGAATACCTCCAAATGAAAAGTGTTCACACTGTCCTTGAGCGGTTCCAACATGAGTTTCCAAATGTTAGGGTTCTCATGCTTCTCCAGCATGTTGCTCTTCAAAGAGGGTTCTGACTGCTTCATTGTTGGCTGGTGTGCGTTGGGTCCTTTGTTGGCCGGACCTCTTCTTGTTGAGATTGTGGCTGGTCCCAGAAACATGGTACTTGTTAACGTTGTGGAAGACAGTGAGACGGCTCGGAACAATTGTTGCAATTTGCACAAGACAAGGTGATGTTTGTGATCATGTTGTTTTAATGAAAGAAGATCTTGTACCAGGTTATAGAACAATTACATGTCATACCCACTGAATACATGTACATGTACAGTACATTACATGTAATGTTAGTTGGCTGGATTGATTTGTCCACGGCCACTTCACATGTTTTTGTTAACCCTTGGTTATGATCCACTCAAAAATGAGATATTTTTSTTTCRACATTAGGACATGAAAGGGTTAATTATTTTAAAAACACCTTGGCATGCATGTAAAACACCATCTAAACTTTTAATTTGAAGTGACAGACCGTATTTTAACCCTCATATTTCCTTGCACAAAGGACATGAATTTTGTGAATTTCCAGCTGTCCCTGCTCACTGGAGCGTGAAGCGTTAACTAAGATTTTGGTGTCATTCGAAGCAGAATGATCCCCTCTAACAAAGGTTACGCCCACATTTTCAAAATTATTATCTATGTTAATTTTATGGTGATTTTTCTGAGAGTATCATTTTTTTCTGATACACTCTGCATAGCGCTTTATCAAGCCCCATGGGGAGCCCAAAGCGCTTTACCCTATACACATTCACACACTGATGGTGGTAAGCTACATTGTAGCCACAGCTGCCCTGGGGCACACTGACAGAGGCGGGGCTGCCATGCACCGGTGCCACCGGACCCTCTGACTACCATCAGCAGGCAAGGTGGGTGAAGTGTCTTGCCCAAGGACACGACTGAAACAGGAGATCAAAGCTGCAACCTACTGGTTACAGGACGACCCCACAAACCACTCTGTCACAGCCGCCCTGATCCACCGTGTTTATTCAAATAAAACATCATATTTAACAGATAATACACTGACAGTTTCCTGCTGCAACATGAGACATAATGTTAAAGAAGTGTCTACACACCGATCCAAGCAGAACTCTCCATTCAGCTGCATTTTAGCTGTTTGTCTCCACAGCAGTGAGCAGATAATCTAAAATGTAGTATTTCACAAATACAGATAATATTCATGGGGTTTGACCAAGGCTCTGATATCTAAAGAGGTAAAAACACTTCACATGTACCTGTACCTGCTACACATCTTAGTCTGTGGGTTCCCACACACTTTTAGTGGTGACTTAAAAAGATACATAGTCTGATCATTTGAATGTGATGTTCAGTCAGATATTATCAGTAGCTGGTTTCTTGTCAAAAATCCAGAAAATATAGATAAAAGTTTAGCATCAGCTAATGTAGTGTTTTATACAGTGCTGCTTTTTTTTTATAAGATTTGATAAAAAAAATGTTATGAAACAGTCTTGAGATTGAACAAATGAAGGTCCTCATAGCCTGGATGAAGATTTCTGTCATTATCTTCATGCTCTGTTTTTAGAGAACTGCTGTCACAGCTGACAGTATACTAACTATTAAGTATTACTAATACTAACTACTGATAATTATTACTAACTGTTACTAAATATTATTAACCATTAATAATTGTTAATAACTATTACTAAATATTAATAACTGGTATTAACTATTATTTATTCATAATTATTCATAGTTAGTACTGTTTAATTGATCAATATTAATGACTGTTAATAACATTAATAATTATTATTAACTGATAATAACTATTAACTAATTATAACCCTTACTAACTGTTGATAATTGTTAATAACTGTTGATTCCTGTTAATGATAGTTAATAACCATTAATAACTATTGATAACTATTAATAAATATTATGACCCATTAATAACTATTTACATAACCAAACTCACCTTTAAAGTCATGAACTGTCAGTCCTTCTGCAGGGTGTATTTGATCATTGTTTGTTATTGTACTTAAGTAGAAATTTCAGTTAAATGTATTTTACTTGAGTAATTATTTTTCAGCGTACTTTTTACTTTTACTCATTACATTTTTACACAATTTTCTGTACTTTCTACTCATTACATTTTTTAAAAAAGGTAAGAAGTAGAAAGTCGTTACTCCTATTTTATTCTGAGTTATTACTTAAAAAATACTATCCTGATAAACTGTGTCTCCTGGATAGAGTGAATTTAATTATGGTTGTATTAGAAGTATAAATATAAACCATTCTGACACCCTGTTAGCTTGTACACAACCCATCACAGCTGCACACCGTTAGAAAAATATTTTTTGGAGAAGTCACCTCCCAATAAATGTCTTTGGAAAATCTAACTGCTCACTTTTACTCAGTACTTTTACTTTTAATACTTAAGTAGATTTTGTGTCAGAAATTTACTTTTGACAAAAAATATCAGATACTTAAAGACTTTTACTCAAGTAATATTTTTAGAGAAGACTTTAACTTTTACCAAAGTATTTTTATGACAAGATACTTGTACTTTTACTCAAGTATCACTTTGAGGTACTTTATACAACACTGTGAGCAGGTTAATAACAGGTCATAACCCTCGCTGTGGGACCACTGAGGGAACAGAGCTCCTCAGCGAGTGATGTCTCAGGCTTCACATCACATGTTGCTCTGGCAGACAACATTAAATACTGTTCCACATGTAAAACCTAAACCTGAAGGAGACCAGGACTAATGTGTGTTGTGTTGTGTTGTGTTGTGTTGTTCCCAGTCCTGACCGGGGGTCCGCTGACTGGAACGTACCGCTTCAGGCAGTTTCACTTCCACTGGGGCAGTAGTGATGATAAAGGCTCGGAGCACTATGTCAACGGCATGAAGTTCCCGTGTGAGGTACTGAAGCCCTTTATTACATGTTTATAACAGTCAGAGCAAGAACCAAAACAAAGAAATGTGGAGAGGAGAAAAGCAGCAGGGCTCATTAGAAGATCCTAACAGGTGGAGATTAAATATTTTTCATCCCTAAAAGATCCGCCCAGGTGAGGTGACAGTGTCCTCTCTTCCCCTCAGCTTCACCTGGTGCACTGGAACAACAAATACCCCAGCTTTGCAGAGGCTGCAGACAAGCCTGATGGACTTGCTGTGATTGGAGTTTTCCTCAAGGTGAGAAACTCGATGAAGTTGTAAAATCATTTTATTGTTTCAGGCTTGTGTCCGCAATCAAAACAGCCACTAAGAAGCTCCTAAACATTTTTTTTGTTTGTTTAAACTGAAATTCAGAGAGAAAATGCTGACAAACCACCTTTTTGTTTTCATGTTACATGAGTGTTAGAACATGTTGAAAACACATCACATACAGTACTGGTGTGTCAGCTGCACGTGATGATTTCTCTGCTGATTTTTTAAAAACAACGAATAAAACAAGAATGTTTTGGAGATAAAACGGTCCCGTTGTGAAGGAGGTGTTCTTCAGGTGTTTGTCAGGTGAAAGATGAACATCTGATGTGTTTTGGTTCAGATCGGTGCTGCCAACCCCCGGCTTCAGAAGGTTTTGGATGCGTTGGATTCCATTAAGAGCAAGGTATGTTACATGAAACAAAACTCTGTTCACTTCGTTCTATTTATTTTATTTAACTCAAACCAAATCACAATAAATCTCATCTCAGGGCTCTACAGACAACGGAAAAAAAACTGTCCAAATCAGATCCAGATTAGGGTCCATTTGATTCGTCTTATCGAATCGAATCGAATAGAATAGAATAGAATAGAATAGAATAGAATAGAATAGAATAGAATAGAATAGAATAGAAACAGCCTTTATTGTCCCATGTGGGGAAATTCAGATATAGTAGCAGCAGCAGGTACATACATCAATCCATAAAACAGTATGTTGCTGTGTGACAATTAGAATTAAAGATAGTAAACAGCAAAAACAGGAGTGTTAAAATTTCAGTGTTAAACTTTTGGGTGTTGATTTAACACCCCCAGTGTTATTTTAAC